ACACACACACACACACACACACACGGTAAAATAAATAATTGTTACACTGCTGATTTTGCAAGTTTTCCCACCTACAAAGTATGGAGGTCTGTATTTTTTTATCGTAAGTCAAAGACCTGTTAAGTTTTCTTTAAGAAGCCCTCCTATTCTGTACTCATTACCTGTGTTAATTGCACCTGTATGAATTTGGTACATGTATAAAAGACACCTGTCCACAAACTCAGTCAATCACACTCCAACCTGTCCACTACGGTCAAGACCAAAGAGCTGTCTAAGGACACCAGGGACAAAATTTTAGATCTGCACTAGGCTGCGATGGGATACAGGACAAAAGGCAAGCAGATTGATGAGAAGGTGTTTGCTCAATTATTAGAAAATGGAAGAAACACAAGATGACTGTCAATCTTCCTCGGTCTGGGACTCCATGTGAGATCTCCCCTCATGGGGTAAGGAGGATTCTGAAAGTCAGGAATCAGCCCAGAACTATACGGGAGGACCTGGTCAATGACATGAAGAGAGCTGGGACCACAGTCTCCAAGAGGACTGTATGTAACACACCATACCATCATGGTTTAAGATGCAGGGCATGCAAGGTCTCCCTGCTCATGACAGCACATGTCCAGACCCATTTGAAGTTCATCAATGACCATTTATGATCCAGAGGAGGCAGGGGAGTAGGTCTTGTGGTCACATGAGACCAATATAGTGCTTTTTGGTATCAACTCCAATCGCCATGTTTGGAGGAAAACTTAGGATAAGTACAACACAACACCGTCTCAACTGTGAAGCATGGGGATGGAAACCTCATACTTTGGGGGCACTTTTCTGCAAGGAGGACAGGATGACAGCACCATATTGAAGGGAAAATGGATGGGATGTGTCACAAGATTTTAACTAACGACCTCCTTCCTAGTAAGCGTATGGATGTAACCGGGACCCTGAGTACACAATCTTGTTCCACCACCTGTACCACTGTGGTGCGAATGACAATAAAGAAACTCTGACTCTGTATTGAAGATGGATTGTGGCAAGGTCTTTCAGCATGACAATGACCTGAAACAAACAACCAGGGCAACTAGTTGCCTCTGAAAGAAGCATGAAAGTTCTTGGAGTGGTCTAGCCAGTCTCCAAATTTGAACCCAATATAAAATCTTAGGAGGGGGCTGAAACTCAATGTAGCCCAGTGACAGCCCCGAAACCTAAAAGATCTGGAGAAGACCTGTGTGGAGGAGTGGGCCCAAATCACTGCTGCAGTTCAAAACTGGTCAAGAACTACAGGAAACATCTGACCTCTGTAACTGCAAACAAAGGTTTATGTACCAAATATTAAGTTCTGTTTTGCTATTGTATCAGCTACTTATTTCATACAATGAAATGCAAATTAATTAAAAAATCATGTAATGTGATTATTTTTTTTGTCTTGGCTTCTGTTTCTCACAGCTGAAGTGTGCCTATGATAAAAATTACAGACCTCTCCATTCTTTGTAGGTGGGAAAACTTGCAAAATTGGCAGCGATTATTATAAGATTTTATATTGGGTTCAGGTTTGGAGACTGGCTAGGTCACTCCAGGACCTTGAAATGCTTCTTTCAGAGCCACTCCTTAGTTGACCTGGTTGTGTGTTTCAGGTCATTGTCATGCTGGAAGACTCGGCCACGACCCATCTTCAATGCTCTTACTTAGGGGAAAAGGTTGTTGTTGGCCAAAATCTCATGACGTGTGACCCCATCTATCCTCCCTTCAATATGGTGCAGTTGTCCTGTCCTTGCTGAAAAGCACCCCCAAAGTATGAGGTTTCCACCTCCATGCTTCACAGTTGAGATGGTGTTATTTGTGTTGTACCCATCCTTCTTCTTCCTCTAATCATGGCAAGTGGAGATGATACCACAAAGCTCTATATTGGTCTCATCTGACCACATAACCTTCTCCCATGCCTCTGGATCATCCAGATGGTGATGAACTTTAAATGGTTCTGGACATGTTCTGTCATGAGCAGGGGGACCTTCTGTAGCCTGCAGGATCTTAAACAACGATGGCGTAGTTACTAATGGTCCTCTTTTAGACTGTGTTTCCAGCTCTCTTCAGGTCATTGACCAGGTCCTCCTGTGTAATTCTGGGCTGATTCCTGGCCTTTCTCAGAATCATCCTTACCCCATAAGGCGAGATCTTGCATGGAGTCCCAGACCGAGGAAGACTGACAGTCATCTTGTGTTTCTTCCATTTTCTAATAATTGCGCCAACAACTGCTACTTGCCTATTGACCTGTAGCCCACCCCAGCCTAGTTCATGTCTACAATTTTGTCCCTGGTGTCCTTGGACAGCTCTTTGGTCTTGGCCATGGTGGAGAAGGTGGAGTGTGATTGATTGAGTGTGTGGACAGGTGTCTTTTATACAGGTAACAAGTTCAAACAGGTGCAGTCATTACAGGTAATGAGTACAGAATAGGAGTGCTTGTTAAAGAAAAACTAACAGGTCTGTGAGAGATATAATTCTTGCTGATTGGTAGGTAATCAAATGCTTATTTCATGCAATAAAATGCAAATTATTGAACAAAAATCATACAATGTGATTTTCTGGATTTTTTTTAGATTCTGTCTCTCACTGTTGAAGTGTACTTACGATAAAAAAAATACAGAGCTCTCTATAATCTCAAACAAAATCCTAATCAATGCATGAGTAATGATAAAATATATTCTGGTAATTGTCTTCTTAGTTCATTAACAATAACACATGCTTAGAGATTATATCCCAACATAGGAATAAAACACAACTTTGCAGACACATTCTTTATTTGTAAGGAGACAGTTGTGTCTCAGCATGATGAATCTATAAAAAAAATTAAATGAAATGAAATTTAATCTTGTTAACAAACTGAGATTTGTGCTCATGTTTAAATACCATAGACATGGGAATGTGTTTTGTGTAGGGGATGCTGTGAATTGAAACAGGCAAAGAATATTTTAATACTAAATAAATGCATTGAAATGCACAGTACCAGTGTGCGTGTTTGTCTTATGAACATTAAAAATATGTTGTACAAATAACTATAAAACTGCAATCAGGACCTAATGCTGCTTTGTTGTCTGTTTTTTTTTTTTTTTTTTTTTTTTTTTTGGGGGGGGGGGGGGTGTGTTAAACATGAAATACACAATAATTAGAGACTGGACTGGAAGCTGTAGGTTGAAGGTTACCATGTTTTTAAATCCCTAGTTAAACAAGACTTTTGCCTCACTAAAAATAAAATTACACTAGATATATATATTTTTTTCAGCTATTGATTTTTGTTGGGTAACTTAGTGTTTGCCTTGATGTGGTCCAACCAAATATAAAAATTTAGAACACTTAGTTTGATGTTTATTTAAGGCTTTAGAAGTATCATGTTACGCTGTGACTGACAGTGTCCCAGCCCATTAGTGAGTTGGGAGGGCGTGTAGGTGGAGCTTTCATTTCGAGTGTGCAGTCTCTGGCTCCTGGCTCCAAAGAATACAACATGGTGAACTTCAAAAAATTATTTTGGTGTCAATTTAGATCAACAGGATCAACTGATGATGCTTCATCAAGGTTTATTGTTAGGTTTTAATGGTTTTAGGCAGCTGTGAAATTATGTCCATAAATATGTAATTATAGTCCTGTTTTTTAAACATACCACTAGCAGCGCAAATAAAAACAGTTTTTATTCATGTTTTATATTACATTAATTTAATCCATTCAGTCATCATATCCCCATGCATTCATCAGGGGACGCTGCAGCACCCTCAGAACCCCTACTTCCCGAAACCTTATATGGTGATTTGTATTTGGTTGTAAAGATCCTTCATATAGTGCTGTATTCTGTAGTCCTCTGAATCTGCCAGTATAAACTCAACACCTAAAGCTCATTCTTCCCAGTTCAAATGTGTTGTTTTATACAATAAGACATATATCTTACATTAATCATTCAAATAAAAAAAGTAAAGTAAAAAAGTAAAGCATGAGCAGCCTTAGGTTTTGTTTTAGATCAGCTGTGAGTGGATGTTTAAAAAGTCAAGAAATCAATTGGAATTCAGAGATAGGAAGACATCTATCAGTCTGTCCGTCGAACTGCTCACATGAGCAGAAACAGCTGGACAGAGAAGGCAGCTGTGCTCTCACAAACTCCAGCCAGCAAGCCCGCAACAAAAAGTTGGGAATAAATGCCTGACTCACTGGTGCTGGGAAGGTGTGGACTACCATGGGAATAAGTGACTTAACTGGGCGTGTCGTCAAACCCACAGGTAATTTCGACACTCTTTCCTTGCTATATCCAGGTTGATGTCACTCGGTGTTCCTGAAGTTTCAACAAAGGGGTCGTAGGGAGAAAGAATGGAGGCACAACTTACTCTAAATCACATGTAAGTTGTTTTTATAGATCTGTTTTTATCATTTTATAACCAAACATTTATTTTAGCTGTTTGCAGACACACAGAGTTAGCATTTTGGGTGTGTGTGGAGGTGGGGTGGGTAGAAAAACACCATTAGGGCTACATAAGTTCTTCTTTTTCCCCCATCTTGTTTGTTTAAACACTTGACAAATGTTCTGTTTAAAGTATGATCACGTGTCCGACCTTCGGTATTTGTTTTCCACAAGTAACAACTTGTAGATAAGAAAGTGACCCGTGATTGTGGCTCTCAAGAATTCAGTGTGACTTGAAGCTTTCAGCAGTTCTTTGTTCCCATCACACTATAATCAATTGTAATGGAAGCAAGTTTGTGTACAATTCCTTGCATTGTAGCGATTACCAGAAATAGCTACCAGTTAAACCGACAGTTTTAAATAATCCATGACTAATGGCTATTTCACACTCTTATATTAAAATAAACCTTCAGAACAGCTAATACCACTGGGAATCCTGAACTATAAGCTAAAATCCTGTCTTTTTTCATAGGATTGTAAATACTTCTCGAACCTTCTAAGACACCCTACTGCAACAAGAGATGCATCTAGGAAGCTCTCCAGTTCCTCCACCTCCACCACCACCACCTCTTCTACCACCTCCACCACCAGCCCCTGGACTCCCTCTATCCCAACATGGACCAGGTCTCATTGGTCGCCGACAGTCCAGGATGCGCAACTTTAACTGGGAGACGCTTCCCAAACACAGCGTGATAGGAAAACACAACATCTGGACAGCCGACAAGACCGATGGAGGATATGAGCTGGACACTGATCACATAGAGGAGTTGTTCAGCCATAACCATGGCCAGCAGCACCCCAAAGGCCTGAACCGTCACAGTCTCAGGGGGCAGCTGCCTTCTGGTCATGGGGAAATGGTGAGGAAGTTCACACTTATACGTCACAAATTCAGATTTAAACTCAAAACCCTATGGCCTGCATTACAATGTTTGATGTTTTACAATTAAATGCTGATATATGAATTTTTTTTCTCAAATGCATTTAAGATAAACATCTGAACAACCTTCACCCCCCTCCTTTTAAAATGTACAACTCCTCCTGCTGCTTACATTTTTTAGAAATTGGCAACTTATTCCTGGTAGCTCATCACAATACACAACATACAAGTTCTGTTTCAAGAATAAAAATGGAAGCTATTTATATCTCTTCAATATTTTAAATATAATCATGTTTTACTAGAACAGTAATAAACAATTATGTAACTATGCAAAACATTGGATGTAAAAGAAGTCAAAACAAGGGTGGAGTTACAATTTTCTTTCATATATGTTTACCAAAGGAAGGAATAATTGTCCCCGGAACAGTAGTCTGTGCGCTCAAGTGTCACTATTGTGTGTTGTAAACAGCATTTACGTCTAGAATTGTACATCATTCCAGTTTTGTCAAACAAAAGTAGGTTAAAATGTGTTCATAACCCTTTACTTTGCCTCGTTTAGGCTCTTGGAACAGGCCAAAATTTATTGCTGATATAAAATATTAGGCTTCCTCTCCCCCAGACAGTTCGATACGGTCAGCACAAAGAAACTTCAACCTTTGGAATCAGCTGTCATTTTGGAAAGCTGAGATGTTTATGACAGAGGTGTTTTTTCAAGCCAATAATTCATTATCTCAACTGTCATACTTCTATATCTCTTCCCTGTTCCAGGTTTCCATCCTCAGCTCCAAGAGGAGCATGAACATTGGAATATTCCTGAAGCAGTTCAAGCGGTGAGTCAGTGGTACCACTTTTGGGGTGTAACTGCTTTTGCTCAATGATTTCTTCAGGTAATACGTGTAAAACAACACAGGATGCAACATGGCTGCATCACACTGACAAAGACAACATGCCCAGACAGGTTTGCTGTACACTGGGACAACCCTCTGGCATCCTGTTCAGATCATATCTGTAACTGAAAGGGTTTGTAAACATATTGTCGGAGGTTACTTAGCAAACACGACAGATATAACAGAACATGAAAGAATGTAACTGTTTATCGAGTAAAACATTTGGGATAAAACTGACAGAAATCCCCACATCAGCTCAAACAGTCCAAAGTGATCACATATAATTTGAACTTCTTTAGTCACTTCCTGCTCTAAGAAAGTGTAGAAAACTTTAGCCAAATATTAGTCCAAGTCCCAACAGCAGTTGAAATTAAAACAGTTGCGATTTTGCTCAGCTATTTAAACAGGCAGAGGCTTGTTGATGTCAGCACTCCCAAGTTTTCCAGTCACACAAAAGGATGGTTTTAACATGGACTCCTAAGATGTTCCCGCCATACACCAACACTGAAAACATTATGGCTGATGATGACTGCAGAGCTGAACATTTCCTGTGTCTCCAACTCCATCCACAGGCCAGTAAAAGACGTGATTGAAGACATTAAATCAGGACGAGGTCTCAGTTTTGGCACTGGAAAACTACGAGAGCTCTGTAGGTTGTTGCCAGATGATGGGGAGGTATTTGACTCGTGTTTTTGAGCATGCAAATCTCTTTATATTACTCATTTTATTGCATACCAAAGAATAAATCCTGCAGACATATGACTTTTAAGCTTTTTTTCTTTAATGTAGCTGAAGCAGCTGGTTGGGTTTAAAGGTGACCCATCTGCTCTACCAGAAGCTGATCTTTTTATGCTACTGCTGGTCAAGATTCCCAGGTAATCCCCTGGATGCACATCTACCACTTATATATTTTAATGTCACTGGTGATTTTCAAATGTAAATGGTGATTTACTGGATGTTTCCTAGTTATGAAGAAAGATTGAACTGCTTAGTGCTGAAAGATGAATTTTTCCCCATCATGAATGAAATGAAAGAATTCATTGGCACTCTGACAGAAGCTGGGAAAGGTATGGTTGGCTTTCCTTCATTTATTTAAATTACTTTTAAATTAGAGCTGTTTGGAGTTTTGATGTTAACACTATATTTCTTCATTTAGAGCTGTTAATGTGCGACAATCTTCATTCTACCATTCGCCTGGTGTTAAAGACGGGAAACTACATGAATGCTGTAAGTGTTTGTTGATGCAGGAGTAACAGAATATTTTCCTTTGTTTTTGTGCATCACTGATCTGAGAGCGTTTGTTTGTTCACAGGGTGGTTATGCAGGGAGTGCAATTGGCTTCCGAATGTCCTCTCTGCTGAAGTTAGCTGATACCAAAGCAAATAAACCTGGAATGAATCTCATGCATTATGTTGTGATGGCAAGTCATCTTCAATACTTTAATTTCTGTCTTGAACTATGGTAGCAAAGTGTGATTGTTCCATAAACTTATTTGTTCTCTACAGCAAGCTCAGAAGGCAGATGTAACACTTCTGAAGTTTCCAGAACAGCTAAAGCACATTGAAGCTGCAGCAAGGTAATAAAAAAATAAAAAAAATAAAAAAACTGTGCATTTTTTTAAATTTGCTTGACAGTTAAATCATTTAATATACTTTTAAACATATTTTTAAGATTAAACAAAAGTGACATTGAAGTTGAGTTTGAAAGGCAAGTGAAGAAAATACAAGATGCCAAATCAAACACCTTGAAACAAGAAGATCTAAAAGCACAGATGGAGGACTTCATAAAGGTGATGGTTGCCACAGGAAATTCAGTCCCGTTTCAGTGAAATCCATCCATGTGTATGTTTCTAACATCTTGGTTTGGGCTTCCATTAGGAAGCTGAGGCTTGCTTGGAAGAAACAGAGACTGATCTGGAAGAGCTTCAGTCAGTTAGTGACTCAGTGGCAGAGTACTTCTGTGAAGACTCCCAGACTTTTAGACTGGAGGAATGTTGCTCTATTTTTCACTCTTTCTGTGAAAAGTTTATTCGGGCCATACAGGTATGCGAATGTGCTGACAGGTTTTTTCACAAGCAATAAAATAAAACTTGTCTTTAGTCATTATTTTGTTATTTTTCTGCAGGAAAACAAGGCCAGAGAGATGGCAGAGGTGAAACGGAAACGTATCGAAAAATTACAGAACGCAGTGAAGCGCAGATCCACGGCTACCTGCTCAAGCAGAGACAAAGAAATGGACGGCATTGCATTAGAGTCTGTACTGCAGAACTTGCTCACCAATCGCAGGAGACCTGGGACGCCTTTGTCCATGCATGGAAGCCCAAGGAGTGGTAGTCCTACTGACGGGAGCCTATCCGAAATCAGTTCTCAGACAAATCTTCCTACTGGAATTCAAAACTATAAAAACAGAGCTAATGAGATGTGCAAAAAAGAGTGGAACTCAGCAATTGAACTCACACAGACATTTTCAAAAGAGAAAGTTCAGTTACATTTTGAAAACAATAAACCGGAAGGTGACAACACCCATGAAGAAAAAATCAAGTCTTCCCAAAAGGAGAACTCTCAGAATGTAACACAGCAACCCCAAAAGACCTTCAGAGCCCTCTCAACAGTTAGATCGTTCTCCGCCAACTCTGAGGAAGATGAGGAAGACATGCAAGACAACAATGAGGAGGAGGCCCAAAAGTTGCGTGAAGCATCTCGAAAGGTTTTGCAGTATCAGAGCAGCCATGGCAGTGCTTCGTCAGTGGACTTCTCTCTGGAAAACCAGAAATCTCCTCCTACAAAGACCACCTTGCCTCGTCAGCTCACGTTTGATGAGGAAACTCAAAGGTATCCTGGTGACCCAACCAATGAGGATTTGGTTCAATTTTTGCTCGGCCCTCATTCTTCCTCAAAACGTAACCTCGGCCGCCGACATACTCTACCTACTAAAATTAAAGAGCAGAAAGATAACCTGGAGATCCAGTCTACAATTATAAGTCCAAATCTTGTGCAACAGGTCAAAGAATCCCAAGCAGGACAGAATGTTGGACATGAACCCTCAAAGCCAGTTTTTGATTTCACTGATCTTTCCCAGAACTTAAAGAAATCCAGTGGTCAGGACCAGAATTCTCCATCAGCAGAAAAGAAAAGTAAACCAAACGATCCTTCAGTCCATTCTCCAGATGGAGGCTTCCAGGAGCTAAACCTGAAGGACAAATCAATGGAGAGCACTGACAGCCACCAACAGATAAATAATGAGAACGTTCTTCCAAGAAGTAACTGGTTTAAGACTGAGAACCCAGGATTTTTTTTCAACTTTTTAAAACGCTTGGGAGATTTGAGCAAACAGCAGAACAGCAAGGAAACCGTTCCTAAGGGCACAGATTCTAGTGTGTAGACATGGAAAATACATGACAACATGTATTAGTTTGAAGCTCATGTAATTGAAAACATAAATGTTAATCAGCCATTAAGAGTTGAATTCAGGAAATATATTAATGAGATATAATTACATGTTATATCATGATGACATTATAGTGTTTTCCTTTATTTGAATTTTGAAAGGGAGTTTTAGGAAACTGAAGAATGTTTGTAAGATGGTATTTTGTATGTTGTACCACTAGATGGCAAGATTGGATAGTAAATTGAAATGGAAGCTTGAGCTGTGACAAGCGTTTTAGCCTCTTTTTAAAGTTAGAGAGGCCAAACTGAGATGGTTGGGACATGTGCAGAGGAGGAATAGTGGGTGTATTTGGTAGAAGTATGTTAGAAATGAAGCTGTCAGGAAAAATATAAAGAGCAATTCCAAAGAGGAGGTTAAATGATATAGTTAGAAAGGACATGGAAGTATACGGAGTCAGGACAGAGGATGTCGAGGACAGAGTGGAGGATGACTCTGAAGAGGGAAGAGCTGAAAAAAAAAAAAGTTATGAAAAGTGTTTTTAATTTGCAGGCAATTTGTATGTTGGGTGTCAAAAGAAAGATGGAAAAACTTGCCGTGAGGCATTTGACTACACTTTTTATCCATAAATAATATATTTTGCTGCTCAGAATGTCAACCAAACTTAGATAAGTGAGTAGGTTTACACTGGTTTCTCTTTGTCAGAAATGAAAATCAAGAATGTACAGAGAAAGTGTTGAGGCTGGTGATAGAAGAGCAATTTCAGCTTAGAAGAAAGAAACTGAATCTGTATTAAAATATGTTGCTGCATCTATTTTTATATGACTGTTTGCTTGTCTTTACTAATTGTATATAATTTTTTCCTAATTTGAAGCTGTACAATAATTAATATATTTTCATTGCAATTCTTCAGGTTCCTTGTTTCTTGTTTTAAATCACATCATATGTGCATAAGCTTGTTGTTTAGTTATACTGAATGTATTGTTCATGTAAAATGGGTCAGTGTCACAAAGACTGCGTCTATCGGAACACTTCTGACCCATGGAGAGTCTGGGAAAGTGAACAATGCTGATCCTAAACCAACACGTTAAAGGCATGACAGTGAAGACCACATATGATTCAACGAATGTGAATCTACATCACAGCTAAATATAGCCCCATTAGGAAATTAATCAGCTAATTCATTCTTGAGTTTATAAAATTTGTTCATGTTAAGGTTGCTAGTTTCAATTATTAGAATGATTACTTCATCAATATTACATTGGGTACTCCCACTTGAGTGCTTCTATTACATAATGTAAAACTGTGCTCGATCTGACGGCCTTTAGAATGTTCTGGAGATATAAAATCTAAATGACATATTTTAACATTCAAACTATAGCAATTTAAAAGATAACATAAACTAACTTATATTTGTCAATTTAATATAAATGAAGTTAAATATATGTAAAATGGTTGAGGAGTTCTAAATCTATTCTCCAACTATATGTATTTAAATAGTTATAAACAAAAATCAATTTTGTACAAATGTAAAGTCTTATGTTATCAGCAAGGATTGATGATATATAATCAAAGTGTGCTGGGCCTGATTTCATACTCCAGCTAAAGATGAGTTTCTGTTTGGACATGTTATAATAGTGTCTTTTGTTAAAAAATAATCAAAACTGTGATTAATGTGGAAGCAGAAGAGTTCTCCCTATTTTGTTTTGTTTGTTGGCATTCTTTAGTATGATAAAAGATCTTGTAATGGAAAACATACCAACAAAATGTAATAAGAAATAGCGACACTACATAAAAAATAAAATAAAATCATATTTAAAGCTTCAATTTTACATGTTCAAACAAACTTTAAGTTTTCTATGTGTATATATATATATATATATATATATATATATATATATATGTATGATTATTTGTGCAAAAATGTTCCATAATATCTGTTTCCTAGTACAGTCAATAGATCAATAACAGCGTAACACAGCACATTGAAATATTAATTTGTTTAAAGTTAATTACTTTTATTGCAAAATTACATAAATTGTAGTTTTTCAGAATTAGGATTCTTTATTTAACAATAATTACAAACAGCATTAAGGATCAGAGAAATGCCCGTCATGCAGTGAGGCTTGTACTGTGGACACGTGCTCCGTTCACCTCTGCAGCTAGACTGCTGCAGCCATCTTGACTAAACTGGAAGCAGTCTCCATGGCAACTCCACCTTGCAAAGAGCCAAAGAAGGCTGTTTACCCTCCAAGCCCCACCCCCCAACAAACTTCTCATTCCCTGTATTATCACGACAGCCACAGAGACACTATGCACATTTCACACATTCAGAGTTCCAGCTTCTCTTTTTCAACTTCAGTAAATCATATGGATAATTTTTATTTGTATTTTTTTATGACCTCATATGTAAACTTAAGCTTTTGCATTCCACTTCCATATTTTAGGCCTCTAAAAATCAGATTTTTCCACTCTATACACACAGTTATTCTGTATCCACATTTATACCCCATCTTACTGACCACTTTTCCTAAAACGAATCGTTAAAATGTAATAGTTCTCATTTGAAACTATTTCTATCCATGTGATTCTCGACCTCCCATTGTGTAATAATAATAATAATAATAATAATAATAATAATAATGGGTGATTTCAATATTCATGTAGATGTTGAAAGTGATAGCTCAAGCATAGCCTTTAAAAAACTTAATAGAGTCAGTTGGTTTTACCCAAAACATCGGAACACCTACTCACTCTCATCATCACACCCTTGACCCAGTTCTGACCATGGCATTGAAATTAATAATTTTGTTATATTTCCTCAAAGTCCTGTTGTGTCTAACCATTTTTTAATTACCTTTGAGTTTACATTAAATGACTACACAGTCACTGAGAATAAATTTCATTTTAGCAGGTGCTTATCAGAAAACGCTGTAACCAAATTTAAAGATTCTCTTACACCATTTTCCTCTGTCTTGCAGAGTAATAAATACATCAGAGAGCAGTGGCTTAGATCATCTAGCTGATAATTTTACAACTACTTTGCAAACTTCACTCGATAAAACTGCTCTGCTGAAAAATAAAGTAATCAATCAGAGGATATTAGCTCCTTGGTTCAATTCTGAGTTACATACTTTAAAACAGACATCTAGAAAGCTAGAAAGAAAATGGTGCTCCACTGACGTTGAGGAATCATACTTATCCTATAGAGATAGCCTGCTAACGTACAAAAAAGCACTCCGTAAAGCTAGAACTTTATAATTCATCTTTAATTAATGAGAATAAAAACAACCCCAGGTTCCTTTTCAGTACCATAGTTAGTCTAATGAAAAATCCTATCTCTGTTGATTCAAGTATCCCTAAATCTATAAGCAGTGATGACTTCATGAAATTATTTATAAATAGAATTGGTTCCCTTAGTGAAAAATTCAGGGCAGCACGGTGGCGCAACTGGTAGAGCTGCTGCCTCTCAGCGAGCAGGTCCTTGGTTCAAACCCCGGTCCAGGGGCCTTCTGGGTGGAGTTTGCATGTTCTCTCCATGCATGCGTGGGTTTTCTCCGGGTACTCCGGTTTCCTCTCACAGACCAAAAACATGCATGTTAGGCTGATTGGTAACTCTAAATTGTCCCTAGGTGTGAGTGGGAGAGTGAATGGTTGTTTGTCTCGTTTGTCTCTATGTGGCCCTGTGATGGACTTGCGACCCGTCCAGGGTGTACCCCGCCCCTCGCACAGTGATTGCTGGACATGGGCACCAGCGACCCCCGTTACCCAAAATGGAATAAGCGGGTAAAGATAATGGATGGATGGATGGATGAGTGAAAAATTCAAACCAACATTCCTAGTATCGCCTCTGGTTCTGTGTCAGATGAGACAACTTTAAAAATGTCTCTAGAACCTGATTTATGTTTGGACTATTTTTGTCTTGTTGAGCTCTTTGAATTATCAAAAATAATAGCTTCATCCAAGCCATCCATGTCTGCTAGATCCCGTCCCAACCAGGGATGGGATCTAGCAGATACAGAAAGCAGATACACTGATTCAGTTGATCATAATATTCTATTACAGAGACTTGAATATGATATTGGAATTACAGAAATGGCTCTAAATTGGTTTAAATCATATCTATCTGATAAATTACAATTTGTAAATGTAAATAATGAATCTTTATCATACACCAAAATTAGTCATGGAGTTCCTCAAGGTTCAGTGCTTGGACCAATACTCGTTACCTTGTATGTGCTTCTATTAGGTAATGTTAACAGCATGGGATAAATTTTCATTGTGATCTGATGATACACAGCTACATTTGTCCATGAAACCCAATTAATCCAATCAACTACTTAGACTACAAGCATGTCTTAAAGACAACCTGGCTGACCCAAATTTTTCTGCTTTTGAATACAGACAAAACAGGTTTTAGTTTTTGGTCCTGAGCATCTTATGAATACATTTTTCAGTCTTTCACCATCCTTGGATGACATTAATCTGGCCTCCAACTCTAATGTTAAAACTCTTGGTGTTATTTTTAATCAGGACATGTATTTTATCCCCCACATTAAAAACGTTACTAGAACTGCCTTATAATATCGCTAAAATTAGAAACATCTTATCTAAAAATGATGCAGAAAAACTGGTTCATGCATTTGTCACGTCTAGACTGGACTATTGCAATGGTTTGTTATCTGGATGTCCAAATACTTCTTTAAAAAGTCTTCAGTTGATCCAAAATGCTGCTGACAGAGTCTTAACTAGAATTAGTAGGAGATATCATCTCTCCAGTTTTAGCTTCGCTCTACTGGCTCCCTGTCAAGTCCAGAATTGAATTCAAAATCTTATTTATAACCTACAAAGTTCTCAACAACCTAGCTCCAGCTTATATTTGAGATTTTATTGTTCCATATTTTCCTAACAGAGCACTTCACTCTAAGATTGCAGGCTTACTCTTAGTTCCTAGAGTTTCCAAAAGTGGAATGGGAGGAAGATATTTCAGTTATCAGGCTCCTCTCTTGTGGAACCAACTTCTAGATTCTGTCCATAAGGCTGACACATTGTCCAGTTTTAAGACTGGGCTTAAGACTTTCCTTTTTGATAAATCCTATAATTAGGGTTGGCTTGTCATGCTCTCTTAAGCTTGGACTACTAGAGGACAAATTGACCTAATTTTCTTAAATAAATGTCTAAAATTGAATAGTTTTCATTTGATACTATTTCTATCTTAACGTTGTTCTTGACCTGCCATTGTGTATCTGTTCCTACCAAACCCAGCCGGTCGAAGCAGATGGCCGCTTGTTCTGAGCCTGGTTCTGCTAAAGGTTTCTTCCTCATGAGGGACTTTTTCCTTTCCACTGTCGCCTTCATGCTCGCTCAACATGAGAGTTCTGTGAGGAAGTTAAACTCAAAGCAATCTGCTCCTCAGATAAATAATGTTAAATTATTATTTTTATATATATGAATGTTTCTTTTAACTTAATTTTATATATGCATGTTTCTGTTCAGTGCCCTGAGATGAATTCTGTTGTAACTTGGCATTATATAAATAAACTGAATTTAATTGAATTCAGAGTCATTACATGCTTTGACTTTAAGCCTCATACCACTATTAACTATAGAGCTGTCAATCTGAGTAAACAGACCCGTGCCTGTGCTTTCTTTCAAACATTTTGTTTCACTTTGCCAAACTCTAATTAATTAGTTATTTTACAGTTTAAAGTTGCCTGCCTCAGGTGTAAAAACTTTTTTTTTTCAATTAAATTCAATACAGTTCAATTCAGTTTATTCATATAGTGCCAAGTCACAACAGAAGTCATCTCAGGGCACTGAACAGAAACATTCAAATATAAAAATAATAACTTAACACTTTTTTTTTAGAGCATACTCTTTTTTTGGTTGCTTTCAACAAAACATTACGTGTCAATAATTTACAGTTAAAATGTAACCTTTATCCTTTTAAGGATGAAAGGTAGCTGCACCACAAACCTCTGTCACCTCTGCCTTCCTCCATGTTCGACTTGCTCCATGAGCTCCTCCCCCTTGTTCAGGCCACGCCCCTAAAGCTATCCTTTCGCTCGTCCTCTTCCTCACTGTCCGCGTCTTCTTGCAGACAGACCCTGCCCTTTCCTTTCTGTCTCCGTGTCTGTGGATTCTGTCGTGTGTGTGTGGGGGGGTCGTCAGGCTGACAATGGGAGCCTCTCTGCAGTGCTGACCTCTCAGTCCACCCTGCTTTCTGTAAGTACAGCCCCGCCGTTCACTTCTTCTTTTCTGGGATCGTGTTTGTTTGTCTGCTCGGAGTCCTCCATTTAGACTAGGAGCAGATGAATAATGGATCAGCCATCCTTACCAGCGTCTGAGCATTGACAAATCACAGAGAGGCTACTTGTTTGTCAGATCGCTGCCTTCTACTTTACTCCATTTTGCTAGAACCTGGAGGAACCCCACATTTAGTGAAGGGGTTTATTTCAGCTTCAGGCGCAGCTGTTAGACTAAAATACTCTGATTCTGTTAGCGCTTCCTCGACCAGCCCACACAGTTCTCCATTTTATCCTGCAGCCGGCTGGGCTCTGAGGCAGGTGGGCATCCTGCTGCAGTCTGAGGGCTGGGCTCTGTAATCAACCATACATGCATCCTCCTTTGTTTACAGGATTATTCAGCTTCCCTTGCTTGTCTGTGCTGAATTTATATGAAGCCTGCTGCAGCTTTCAGACTAGGCTCATGGGAATCTGCATGTTGCTTAGACTCCTATCATTCATTGTACTGCAGCAACAGCATCAGGCAATGCATCATTTCAGCACCACGGGCCCAGACTGTTAGCAGATGCTTTTGTGGTTCAGTATGTCTTTGTTCTTGAGGATGACTCATCACTATGTATGATTATATTTAACATTTGTCTTATTGTGTGAATAAAAGAGGCGTTAGGCTGTTTTTTTCCTTCGCACTGGGTCACTGAGAGGTTCCCAGACAGTCCTGGATGCTGCACCCAAGGATGGATACTTAGCAGTTGTTACAGGTCTGTGTCAAGCTTTAGTGGTTGTTTTAGACTTTGAATAAACAGGAAGCTACATTCATGTCTTTAATTTTTTTAAATTGTATTTATATATAAGTTTTAGGTATCGATTTGCAAGAGAACTGAGGAGGAAACAAGATTGATGCGTGTCACTCACTGGAGAAAGCTTGGATTTAGCCTCGGCAGTGAGCAGATAAACAGAATATGATCGAAAGCACAGTGAAGACGACGCAACAAGGACCCCGTCATTTTAAAATCAACACCCATTGAAGTCACAGTCCAAAGCAAACAAAAAATAATTGAATGCATGAAAAACATTTATAGAAAGATCATTTGGGATCATTGCACATTCTTTTCCAACAATCTAATTACATAAATAAATTAGTGAGACGCATGGACATGTGTTATGTATTTGTAAAATCTTCCATGAAATTTTAGTTTTGAATTTTATGACCAGTTACTCAAAACTATTTCAATAATTTCAAACATTACCCTTTCAGAAACGGAATAAACATGATAAATAGCCAATTTGAAAGTGACAAATAGTGACAAAGACACCAAATCTATGATGATATCTGGAGACCTAACTAATCATCTGAATGAGTTTCTTTTCATCCAGGGTCTCTGTGCCTGACAATGTGATTGTATTCATCTCAAACGTTGAGTAATTTAGCTCTGCTCTTAAGATTGATCAAATCCAATCATCATGAGGTTACTCCACACCATATACAACACATTACAAAGAAAAGTTCACTGGGGAGGAGTTTTTTTTTTATCTTTAAAAAATTCAAAATTCTTTCAGAATTTGGTTAATTTTAGAAAAATGCATTTAAAGAATCAATAGATCTGTACACTTGTATAATCTGTAATTTTGTCATCTTATAGGCCTTTAAACAGCCCCAATAAAAAAAATATTTTGCTTAGGTGTTAAAATAATTACACAGTGCAATTATTCTGACGTTCTAGTTTGTAGCATACATCTAGAACTCATAGTATTTTTTTTATTAAACCACACACTTGTGTGTTTAAATGAACTGTCAAACCAAAATAAAACTCGCCATGCAATCCAAATAGTCCCTGGTCATGCGTGGAAGTTGTCATGCTTTGTTTCTAATCTCCAAGATGATTAATGCACTCCAGTGCATCACACAGTCCACTGGTAATCAAATCAGCAAGTGAAACACTGTCTGTGTGTGTGTCAAAGGACAACACATTAATGTGACATGAGCTGCAGAGTGAGCGATGCATTTGTTTTGTTGCTCTTACTGCAGGTGAATGAGCGTTGGCGGCAGTGCTCGTGCATCCATCGACTTTTTGCAAACTCTGCAGTGCATGTTGTGCCTGCAGACCTGCATGCCGCAGAGTCTTCTTCCAATGTTTCTCATAATGGGATCATAATGGGAAGACCCACATACTGTATAATATGCTGACGTGACGCGGTCACACTGACACTTTGTTGACTCGAGAGTTGTCAGAACGTATCAGTTTGACGTCTGCAAACAGAAAGATTATTCCAGCCTTTATTAGGTCAGGTGTTAATGTTGTGGAGACTCACTTTAGCACTTGTTTTTTTTTTTTTAAGGTTAGCACCTAGATTTGAAGAGTTAGGAAGAAAACAATGTACAACAAAAATAAAATATACACTCTAAAAACCGCTGGGTTAAAAACACAATAAAATTTTCAAGCCAGTGCTGGGTCAAATTTGTACCAAGCAGACCATGGGTGTTTTTAACTCAGCACGGCTGGATTATCAGTTTGACCAAACATACCAGGTTTACGTTTTCTGCCCAACAATTGTGGTTAAAATAACTAACCTGTTGAAAAAGTGCAGGTATAAAAAACATATAAAAATCTGGGTTCTGTGATAATTACATCTCGGGGTAGCTAGCTGGTGCTAACTGCTTTTAGCATCAGCTAGCTAGTACCGACTAATTATTTAATTACTTACTTAATTAATTAATTAAATTATTAATTTTTGTAACCCAAAGTCACTATCTTGTGCAAATTAAAGTTATTAACAGGTTCTTACAAGCTGTTTTTATCATATAATCTTTACTTCTTAAATCTTAAGGCAGAGGTCTCGTTACGTTAAATTTGGTCGACTTCTGGCATAAAATGGCAGACGATGAAGAATGGCATGACCTATCTTTAGCTCAACTTGAACTTTCCAATCAATATTTGGTCAAACCAACTCGTATGACCCAACAGATTTAGCCCAACATTTGAACTAATTAAATTATCGGTGTGTAATATTCAGTATGAACACTAAGTCCAGGTTTCTCCAGTGAGCTAGTTGAAAATATTATAATATGACACAAACAGCTGTGAATTTTTAGTCTCAGTAGATGCTAAGTAACCAGTGTACTGTTTTATTGTCATGACCCTTCAGACACAGACTGATGCAGTGAGACAGACTTTCAAATGATGCTGTGCCTTTAAAGCAGAGTTTGTCAGCTGTAGTTGGAGTTGCTGTGTTGTGTGAATAATGATTGATGAGTCATCACAGATCCAGGCACCGTTAAACGCTCCTCAGCCTCCTCTGAACAATCAAACCAAAAATATGAGCAGAAATGTTCTCTGAATAATATTGGAAGTACGTATGAGATGGCGAAGCCTGTCGTATTCGATGAATGGTTTCTGAGGCAAAGCTTTGGCAGCTTATCTGCAGCCTTTCTCACTTTCATCATCTTTTCCTTCTCATTCAATCAGTTTTGTGTCACTCCCTAAAACTAAAAACTGCCCATGCAGAGTGCAGGAACAATTACTGTTTGAAGACACATGACCAATGGCTTGAAATGCAAACTGCAATCTATTTTTAAACACCTTCTAGGCAGCATATCGTTGAGGGCCAGAACTTTAGACTTCAGGTACGACAGACTTTTGCCAAAGTTGGACACTTGAGGACACAGTGAACTGCTGAAATAAATGATGCAGGGTTTCCTTGCTGCTGTGCCACAAACACTGTACATCAGATATTAGAGAGTCATCGAGACATATTGTACTTATAATCTAACCCAGAGAAACAGAAGTTATTTAAAATGTGTTGCAGGCATACTGACTGGGTGTCAATACTTTTTACTCAGAGAAAGAGGAAGGGAAGAGGAAAATACTTTTAATGGGCCTTGAAGCAAACACATCCTGGAATCTCAAGTAGTCACACAAACGGAATGACATTACTAATCAACAGATTATGGCCGCTCTAAAGGGACAGCTTCCTGTTCTGTTTCTATTGTTAGTCAGCTTTCTGCAGGATCAAAATATTTCACTCTAAAATAAATGTTAATCACTTTTAATACCTGCTTTTGAATGCTATTCTTAAAGTAGCTTTAATTAAGTATTATATTATTAACAGTATCAATCCATTTTAATACCAAGTCCTGGTATCAAGTCAAAAATACAGTTTTAATTTTCCAACTCTTATAATAATAAATATGTGGGAACCTCCATTCAAGCACCTAATTTTGTTATTCCAAAGCAGAAAATGCAAATTTGCAACAAAATGCTCCTTTAAAACCATCCTGTTTTAATAAATATGTTTACTACCAAATTTGAAGTCTATGCTAATATTATTTTAAACAACTAATTTTATGAACTAACTGAAGAGATCAAATAGAAAAATACATTAAATGGTTCTGTGATTGACCTGTGACCTGTCCAGGACATATAACCCGCCTACAGATTCATGTTCGGGCTGCTGTTTAATATATTGTATTATTTTAAATTCATTCAACCTTTGTTTAGACAGTCTCGGGACTTATTTACAAGAGAGATCTGATTTCTTAACAAATGAACAAATAATTAGTGTTTAGTGTAGGGATGCATGATATTGTATTTTTGGCTGATATCTGATATTCCAATATGTTAAAACTTATTTGGCTGATAGCGGATACCGATATTTTATATACTTTACTTTGTCAGAACATAGCCCTCTTATTTAGGCTTATTTGCTACAAAAATTGTGTAACAGCTGTAAGACCTGGTGACATATATTCAGTAACAGTCATGATATGTATAGCACTTTAACTTATATTAAATGAAAAGTGTTAAATGTTATTTATTAGCATTAGTCACCTGCGATGCTGTCTCACTTGTGGAGGCTTGTTCCAGGTTCCTAGCTGCAGTGTGGGATCCTCTGCACTCTTGTGCATAAAGAATAGCCTTTTTAAATTCAAAGTTTTTGTCTATCCATGGTGCCATAAGACTAATCATGCTAACGGGGCTAACA